AGATGCATAAAAGTGCGTGAAACATAAAGGTACAGTTTAATGAAATATTATAAAGCGAATTCCAAGTTAGCCAACGTCTAACACTAGAAATTGCCAACATTCCAGAAGCCCCACCTTCCTGCACACCCCTGCCCTGTTGTGATGCTCTTTGCCTCCTCTAGAGGGAGCTGCTATCCTGACTTCCTTTCCCCATAGTCTCTGGCTTCTATGTGTGCATGGTTTCCGTATCTTTTACAAAGTTTTAGCACTTAAGCATCTCTAAAAAATACAGTTTAGTTTTGCAAATTTTTGACCTTGTATAAACAGAATTGTATAAAATGTATTATTTTATGTCTGACCTACCTTGCTCAACATAATGTTTTAAAGATTTAGCCAAGTTCTTCTGTGGACCTATAGCTCGTTCATTTTCTTTGCTCTGTAATATTCCACTGTATGAATATACTACCATTTAGTTGTTGATTTTACTATTGATGGACACTGGAGTGTTTTCAGTTTAGAGCTGTTACCAAACATGCTACTAAAAACATTCTTGCCCCTTTCTAAGGGAATGCACAGGCACGTATTTCTCTAAGGCAGTGGTTCTCAAAGCGTGGTTCCAAAAAGCAGCAGCGGCAGCATCTGGGAACTTGTTAGAAAGGCACATTCTTGGGCCCCACCTCAATGTACTGAATGGGAAACTCGGGGGTGGGGCCCAGCCATCTGTGTTTTAACAAGCTCTCCAGGGGATCCTTGAGCACACCAAAACCTGGGAACCATGGCGCTAGGGAACATCCAGGCTAATCTAGGGGTGTAGTTGATAACATAGGAGGATTATAGGATATGCACACATTTCTTCAAGTTTATTGCATGATGCTATTACCCAAAAGACAAGAGATAACAAGTGTTGGTGAGGATGTGGAGAGAAGGGAACATTTGTGCACTGTTGGTGGGAATGTAAATCGGTCAGCTGCTATGGAAAACAGTGTGGAGGTTCCTCAAAAAATTAAAAGCAGGACTGCCATATGATCCAGCAATCCCATTTCTGGGTATTTACCAGAAGGAAACAAAAACATTAACTCAATAAGACATCTGCACTCCCAAGTTCATGGCAGCCTTATTCACAACAGCCAAGACATGTAAACAACCTAAGTGCCCATCGACGGACGAATGGATAAAGAAATTGTGGTGTATATAGACAACAGAATATCATTCAGCCATATAAATGAATGAAATCTTGCCATTTGCCACAGTGTGGACCTTGAGGGCATTATTCTAAGTGAAATAAGTCAGACAGAGAAAGACAAATACTATATGATCGATCTTATATGTAGAATCTAAAAAACACCAAAAAACCAAGCTTGTAGATACAGAGAACAGATTAGGGGTTGCCAGAGTGGGGCTGGGATAGGCAAAATGGGTCAAGGGTGTCAAAAGGTACAAACTTCCAACGATAAAATAAGTCATGAGGATGTAACATACAGCATGGTGGCTGTAGTTAATAATAACGTATTGCATATTTGAAAGTTGCTGAGAGTTAATCTTGCGTCTTCATCACAAGCACCAAAAATTCTCTATATGCGGTGACAGATGTTCACCAGACTTAGGGTGGTGATCAATTTGCAATATGTGCAAATATCAAATCATTATGTGGTACACCTGAAACTAATACAACATTGTATGTCAGTTGCACCTCAATTAAAAAAAGAGCATTTTAAGCGTATCTTTACCTATTCAGACAGCATAGCCAACTATAAAAAAAAAAAAAAAAACACGGTTCCCATCCCAGCGAGGCTGTTCTCCCTTCTTGCCCAGCCTGGCATTGTTGGTTGGTGTTAAGCCGATTGCAGACTGCTCGATACAATGTCTTGTTTCTAGCGTGCAGACAAATGCAGCGCTTTCCAACAACGTGTTGTCGTAGCCTTAGAGATTTCCAGCTTCAACAATGTAAGTTGTTTCTTCCCCCCATGTAGCCGGGACCTGGATCAATAAAGTAAAGGCGTAATGACTTTCCCTGCTTTATTTTAGCAGGTCATCTGATGCTATCTGTTTTTCAGTCTTAGTCAATATGGGGTCTCCTGGGAGGCAGAGATTATATCTCTTCCCTAAACCCATTTCTCCACAACCACAAAGAAAAAGCCGGCCGGGACAAGGATACCGACCAGTGCTGGTAATTTTTTAAGTGATTCTCAAATGATAACTCACCAGTTTCTCTCGTGATAATTTCCTTTGCCTCCGCTGTAAGCGGTGGTGGCCGCATCTTTCACTTAGAGCTCACAGCTGTGTTAACATCAGGGCTGTGTTTTGGAACTGGGCAAGGTGGCCACGTGGCTCGGCTGAGGCCCTGCCGCACATCACTGGCAGCTCAGGGATAAGTTTTAACGATCAGGCACAATAAATCGTGCTGCATCATCAAACAGGAGGGGAAAAGGAAATTCTTCCGCTCACACCTGGTTTTCTCAGGCTGTGATAAATTTATGACATGGTGGGGGTGCCATTCCTCATTTCTTTTTTTTTTTTTCTTTTCTTTTCTTTTTTATTGCAGTAACATTGGATTCTAACATTATATAACTTTCAGGTGTACATCGTAATATATTTTGAATACTGTGTAGATTACATCATGTTCACCACCCAAAGACTAATTAACATCCATCCCCACACACGTCTGCCTAATCACCCCTTTCACTCTCTTCCCTACCCCCTTCCCTCTGGTAGCCACCAATCCAATCTCTGTTGCTATGTGATTGTTTCTCATTGTTTTTATTTCGTACCTATGAGTGAGATCATACAGCATTTGACTTTCTCCCTCTGACTTATTTCACTCAGCATTATACCCTCAAGGTCCATCCAGGTTGTCACAAATGGCTGGATTTCATCGTTTCTTATGGCTGAGTAGTATTCCACTGTGTATATGCACCCCATCTTCTTTATCCATTCATCCCTTGATGGGCACCTAGGCTGCTTCCAAGTCTTGGCTATCGTGAATAATGCTGTGATGAACATGGAGGTGCAGGTATCTTTATGCATTTGTGTTTTCACGTTCTTTGGATGAATACCCAGCAGTGAAATAGCTGGATCATATGGTCGATCTATTTTTAATTTTCTGAAGAAACTCCATACTGCTTTCCATAGTGGTTGCACCAGTTTGCACTCCCACCAGCAGTGTACCAGGGTTCCCTTCTCTCCACATCCTCCCCAACACTTGTTTCCTGTCTTGTTAATTATAGCCATTCTGACTGGAGTGAGGTGATGTCTCATTGTAGTTTTGATTTGCATTTCCCTGATAGCTAATGATGTCTCACATGTTTTCATATGCCTGTTGGCCATCCGTATATCTCCTTTGGGGAAATCTCTGTTCAGATCTTTTGCCCATTTTTTAATTGGGTCGTTGGCTTTTTTGTTGTTGAGACGTCTGAGTTCTTTGTATATTTTGGATATTAACCCCTTATCTGATATATGGTTTGCAAATATCTTCTCCCAATTATTAGGTCATCTTTTCATTTTGTCGATGGTTTCCTTTGCTGTGCAGAAGCTTTTTAGTTTGATGTAGTCCCATTTGTTCATTTTTTCTTTTGTTTCCCTTTCCTGGTCAGACATGGTACTTGAAAATATGCTGCTCAGGCCGATGTCAAAGAGCGTACTGCCTATGTTTTCTTCTAGAAGTTTCATGGTTTCAGGTCTTACAGTCAAGTCTTTAATCCATTTTGAGCTAATTTTTGTGGATGGTGTAAGATAATGGTCTACTTTCATTCTTTTGCATGTGGCTGTCCAGTTTTCCCAACACCATTTATTGAAGAAACTCTCCTTTCTCCATTGTATGTTCTTGGCTCCCTTGTCAAAAATTAGCTGTCCATAAATGTGTGGTTATTTCTGGGCTCTCAATTCTGTTCCATTGATCTGTGTGTCTGTTTTTGTGCCAGTACCATGCTGTTTTGGTTACTATGGCTTTGCAGTATATTTTGAAATCAGGGAGTGTGATACCTCCAGCTTTGTTTTTTCCTCAGGATTCCTTTGGCTATCTGGAGTCTTTTGTTGTTCCGTATAAATTTTAGGATTCTTTGTTCTATTCTACCAAGAATGTTGTTGGAACTTTGATAGGGATTGCGTTGAATCCATAGATTGCTTTAGGGAGTATGGACATTTTTTAACTATGTTAATTCTTCCAATCCAAGAGCACAGAATATCTTTCCACTTCGCTGTGTCTTCTTCATTTTCTTTCAACAATGTTTTATAGTTTTTGGTGTCCAGATCATTCCTCATTTCTTAAACCTGCCCCTTCCTTCTTTCCCTCCCTCCTCATTTCTTCAACAGCTTATGTCAAGCGATTAAGACCCTTAAGGAAACATTTTGGAGCTGCCCAGTAAGACTGAGAAGATGAGATTCCACATGGCATAATTTCCCACAGATCCTGTTTCCTGGGGCTTTGAAGCTTAATCTGGTTTCAGAAAGTCAGCATTTGTGGGGGCATTTCTTCTTCCTAATTGGACTTTCACATCAACCGTGACAATGGTACCCACGAAAGCTTGTCAAGTGACTTCTCATCAACCCTTAAAAAATTGTTTCTCAGGAAGCATCAGTAGTATTTTCATATGAATTAACCTCATGTGTGACCATGATCATTGTCTGGGTTCTCATTTTGTATATGGGTAGACTGAGGCACAAAGAAATGGACGTTTTGAAAGCCATAAACTTAATATCTGGAATGCATTGCTCCTGGGCTGGGTCCAGCATGGCTGTGAAAACAGTATAGAAAGGGGGGGCTGCTCTGGATTTGCATTCCAGCTCTGACATTAAGTGGCTGTGTGACCTTGAATAGGTCATTTTACCTCAGTTTCCTCATCTATAAAAAGGAAGAGGCTGGATTAGATGCACAGGGCTTTGAGGTGCTAACACTCCCTGATTTCCGGTTTCATTTCCCACAGGGCAAAGGGCGTAAATTTAAACATACTTACAATTTGCAACCTACACGTAGGATGGAATAAAATACTTTATTCATAGTGTTAGAATTTGCAACAGGGGAAAAATATATAGGTTGAGTAGATTTATAAGGAAAACTGTGTAGGAGTCATGAATAAAATATAGCTCTTGAAAGATTTATTGACCAGATCCACATCTTTCACGGGCTTCCCGTTTGGGAAACGTTGCGCTCCCTTACTTATCTCCTGGAAGCGAAATAAGGGAGAGGAGGGCTGTCTCAGAAGCTCCATTTTTAGCACAGTGCTTCCAGTCTTGCTGCTATTTCCAAAACACTAAGCATAAAGCGTTAAAATTGGAGCAGCCTTCTCTTCTCTTCAGTGTTTATGAGATAGACATGCCACTCATTTGTTCTGCCTCAAAAGTCAGATGACTTTATCCGCCAAAGATGATAATTCAGCACGCAGGTCCTAGAATAAATACATTTGATTCAATTCATTTTGTTTTGAATAAAATCTTACCTCTCCTTATTTGTACTCAACTCCTGGTAAATTTGAAGGAAAAGAATAAAATATGGATTCCTTTACTACCTTCTTTCTGGATCTTTCTAGATTAGCATTTCTTAACCTGCGGTTAATGGACCCCACTTAGGGAGCTCACTATGCATTCTCTCCTGAATGATAGAAAATGGTTTTGAATGCTCTGAATAGAATCAAAAAGACTTCAGGTGTATGTCTGTACCTGTAAATTTTTTTTTTTAACCTGGGAAGAAATTTCAGAGTTTTCATTCTATTTTTAAAGGAGACCATGACCCTCCAAATGATAAGAATCACTGCTCTAGGTACGAACTTACAACTTGACTTGTTGACAATAGAGGAGTTCTTTTTTTCCACTTTCTGAGCCAATGGTAACTAGATGAGTTGAATAGAACTAAGGTCTTCATTTGAACTAGTGATTGTCTAGCTTTGAAAACTACCCAATTTCTGAACTGTCAGCTTTGTAGATCAGAGCATCTATCAGTCTGGGGAGATGGGGAACTCCACGCCCTCCAGACTAAGTATCTCTTTGTGCCCCATTTAGTGCAATGTTAACAGGCTACGTTTATTGGTCTTAAGAAAATCCTGTTGTAAAATGAATTTATACAAGATGTGAATATCCTGAGACCTGCAATCTTTTTTAAATTGCCTGTCTTTTGGGAGGATGATTATGTTTCTTCTTTCTCTCTTTACCAAGCAAACAAACAAAAACGCTACAAACTCTCTTTTTCGCTCCACAGCTGAGCTCCCAGCTCAGATCACTTTAGTGCAATATTGATACCTCTGACTTACTTCCCATTTCCTCCTTCCTGTTCACCAGATTTGAATTCTGACTGAGGTCAAGCATATAAAATGTTGTCTCTAGAAAGAAGATTGGCAGAAATTGAGTAAATACAAAGAATTTTAGTGAAATAATCTGACCTGTATAAAGTAATGCAATTTAGAATCTAGGCCAGGAAGTTTCCTTTTTCTTTTTCCCATATCCACAAAATTAATCATGTTAGTAATCTTTTAAATGGACTGCAAGTGCTTACTGGGATCTAAAGTAAGGAATTCACAAGAAAAAAGTCTATAGAAACTATATTGGTGGAAACTTGAATTCCACTTGGTTCATGCATTTGCTGAGGACCTCCTGAATGACAGCACCGTGGGAAATACTGAGGAAGTAATGTTAGAGCTTCCGATCCCCTGATGGGTTCAGTCTCATCGGGTAGATGAAGTTTGCACCAATGAAACAGCAAGCGAACAATATGTGGAACATACAGTTGAGTTTAAAACACACTCTCATTTAATTCCATAGGAAGTTAGAAGAGGTCTGAATTGGAGGCATTGAAACAGTTGAAAGCAGAATTTTAAAAATATGCTTGGGTGTGGCCCAAGAGGTGGAGGGAGAGCTCGAAGCTGGGATGACAGCATAGCAGAGGCTCTCCTGGGAGCCGTGAGAGAACAGAAGGAGTGGAATCTACTTGGAGGAATGTGGGAAAATGTAGGAAGAAAGGATAAACCTGGGGCTGATGGTGGCGAGGGCTGAGCATCACCCTGACTGGTACTATGGCTGCTAAAGAAAGAGGGGATAAAAGGGATGGACTCCAGCGAGAGCGAGGAATCCTCTCAACTTCTGGTACCTTCAGGGTCAAGCAGTTATGGCACCAATGACCCACTGAAGGTTTGGACAGGTACAATGTAGAGTGGCAAAAAAGAGGAGAGGATTAGGCGATGAGAAAGGGACAAAGAGGAGGAGAAGAAGGAAGAGAGAGAGAGAGAAAGGTGGGAAGAGCCTTATTTAATAGATACCTACTTGTGACCAGGCCTTCATAAGGCCAGCCCAATTTGGTGGTGTTTCTGCTTTATGAAACGCTCTTGTGGGTAGGGTAGCTTCTCATGTAACAAGTGCAACTCCTCAGAGGTGTTGCGATGCTCCTAGCCAGTTTCTTTCCTGGAACTGAGAGCTCCTGTCTTAGATGAACACCTTCACTCACCCACAATTATTCAGGAGGTTTCCGATAAATACATGAATTAAGCAGAATTGAAATTTCCATCAATTTCATTTATGAAGGATGATCTTGATTTCTTCCATTCAGATTTCTTAACTTAGATCCCAGTATGTGCTTGGAGTCCACTTAAAAGCATCTGGTCCAACCACCTCACACTCGTTAGGATGGCTACTATCAATAAAACAGAAAACAACAAGCATTGGTGAGGATGTGGAGAAATTGGAACCCTTGTGCACTGTGGGTGAGAATGCAAAATGGTGCGGCCACTATGGAAAACAGTGTGGTGGTTCCTCAAAAAATTAAAAATAGGACTACCACATGGTCCTGCAATTGTATTTCCTGATATAAACCCAAAGGAACTGAAAGCAGGGTCTCAAAGAGATATTTGTGTACCCATGTTCATAGCAGCATTACTCACAATAGGCCAAAGTGGAAGCAACCCGGATGTCCATCAAGAGATGAATGGATGAGCAAAATGTAGTCCATACATACAACGGAAGATTATTCAGCCTTAGAAAGGAAGGAAATTCTGACACGTTACAATATGGATGAACCTTGAGGACATCATGCTAGGCGAAATAAGCCAGTCATACACACACATACGCACACAAAATACTGCATGATTCCACTTATAAGAGGTCTCTAAAGTAGTCAAAGTCATAGACATGGAAAGTAGAACTGAGGTTGGCAGGGCTAGGGGGAGGGGGAAATGGGGTCTTATCCTTTAATGAGGACAGTTGAAGTTTTGCAAGATGAAGAAGTTCTGGAGATGGATGGTGGTGATGGTCGTACAATTACGTGAATGTACTTAATGCCCCTGAACTGAAGACTTAAAAATGGTTCAGACGGTAAATTTTATGTTGTGTGTATTTTACCACAATAAAAAAATTGAAACTAAAAAAAATAACGGTGTGGTCCAAATGACTAATGTTGCCCAAGGCCCCACCCAGTCGAGGGCCCTCTGCAGCCTCTCAGAGTCTGATCCTCGGACCCAGCAGCTCAGCAGATGCCCTATTAAGCAGTTAATTATTTCCCTTTGATACTGGCTTTTTAATCTTTTAATACAACAGTTTTACTGTCTCTGATAATTACTGTGTCTCGATAACTCTTTTAAATCTAACGAGGCGTGGCAAGCTCTGCTTAACAAGGCAACACTCCATTAGCTTTTTGCTGCTCTGTCATCGTATCGCCCTCGTTTACTGTGTCACCAGCCAGACACTAACCTGCCACTTGCCAATGGCGAAACAGTGTGAAGTGACCTGCTGTCAGGACAGCTGTAGTGGTACTTAATAAACTGCCGGGGCCACTCCCAGTGCCGCCTTTTATCCTGCCCACAGTCCAGGCTGAGAGGACTTCAGGTGTAAATCAGTTTTCCACTCACCTAAGAATAAGATCTGGAGGCAGGCTCCTCTGCTTTCTCCTCCTCTGCTCCCAGGAATTCTAATGTTTGGTCTCAAGGGTCCCTGATGGAGAAGCAACGAGAATAACGCAATGAGCCCTGGGTTTAGTCCAAAGACGCTGGGTCAGGCTTGCTGAGCTGTTCGCCAGCTGTGTGACTTTGGGAAAACCATTTAACCTCTCTGAGCTTGTTTCTTTATCCCAAATACCATATTTCTGAGCATCATTTTGAAGTTAACTGAGTTCATGGCTATCTAGGTTACCAAGCCACATTAAGCTGGAGGAAAAAGTACGATAGCCCCTTTAGTCTACTTTTGAATGAGTTAGAGTAGAGAGTCAGGATGCCATCAAAAATCTGTCTCTTTAGGTCTTCCCTCTCCCCCATACTCTGTATAACCACCACCAATCTTCTAACATATCCTTCCCAAATCATTTGGGATGTGCTGGGGGTTTATTTACTCATTCAGCATCCAGCTGTGGTCTAGGCAATGTGCACAACAGTCAATGAGACAGCGACAGCCTCTGCCCTGGGGACACTCATCTTCTCCATTAGCGAGAGCTCGATGGAACGATTACAACGGCGGTGACTTCACGCCGAGGATGAGAAGAGCAGAAGGTCAGCCACTTTTCACTTCTCTCTTCCTGCTGCCCAGAGGCCGGCACATCTACAGCAGGTCAAGTTCAAAGTTCTACCTCCATACACACGGTGGCCTTTGTAGTGAGTGAGTGTCATCAGAAGGTGAGGAGGCTCACCAGGCAGAGGTACCATGCTGACATTGCGCGTGTGGCGTGGTGGAAAGTGCAGAAGCTCCAGTGCCAAAAAGGATCAAATTCAAGTTCTGCCTCCCTCACCTGTGAGCACAGTGCCCCCCGGGCGAGGCCCGGAACTCTTGACTCATCATTAAACGGAGAGGGTAGTGTCTCCTTACGGGATTTGGTGAAGCATAAACGGACTGAAGCATCTGAAAACTGTAGACTGTAAATTACTCTTGGAAATACTATCATTGATTTTGATCATTTCCTTGGGCTGTGGGTCACCAAAACACTTATGATAGAAAGGGGTGTTATTAATTTAAATTTGCTCTAACTGAATCATTAAAATGGCTGCAATTTCGTGCCAAGAACAGTCTGTCCCTCCGCCATCTTTTTATACTCATACTCTTGCTTTGCTTCCAGGTTCATTCTGTTCCCAAAAATGAACTCCAGAGGCAAGATCACAAGGAAGTCTTTCCATCGGATCAGGGTTACTGCCACGATTTTGAAATGCATCTCGAACATGCATCTTTAATAGAAGGTCGGCTCTCAACTGAGCGCACAGATTTCTTTCATTTTGGGAAGGGACAAGGTTAAGTCATTTGTCACCGGTCATTTCCAGGTTATCATCTTGTGAATTTGGTCAGCTTACAATAAACATAACAAACTACATTTCTGTGCTTCCAGATCAGGAGAGACCACTGGACGGTGACCCTCAAAAACCCTTTCCTTCGCCCAAAGCAGAAGACCACGTGGAGTGCGCCTCGTAAATGTTGACAACAGCGGGTGTTCTCCACGTTGCCGTGGGGTCTGCTGGCTCTTGGGAGGCTCAGGAGCCCCCAGGAAAACCACGAGTCTCTGTTTCCCTACTGCCACGTACAGTACCCCAACACTGCCAACAGGATGCTTCCTTCCAGTCTGTTCCAATGACCTAGAAGTTTCTTTTGCCCACAAAGGAGTTAAAGAGGTGGGAAGTTCAGGCCCCCATGAGTTAGCATGCCCTGTTCCAGGGTAACAAACTCCCTCTGCTCCGTACTCACAACTTCACTATAATTCTGCAAATTAGTATTTGATTTCCTCTTTATTCCACCCCTCTGTCCCCAGGAGACTCATCCAAAGGAGAGCGGGACAGGCTAAAGCCAAACGGAGGGGTGCGGGCTCAGGATACACCTTCGACTCCTGTGTGCCTTGGACTGTGAGCTCCCAGAGGACGGGGATCACAGCTGCCCAGTTCTCCTGATGTCCACAGCCCTCAGTGCACGACCTTGCACAAAGTAACACCCAGCAAGGATTTCTTGAGTGGATGAACGAATAACGAATGAATGCCTGCCTAGTAGACTCACCTTGACCTTGAGGACCACCCGCACGCAGAGCCGTAGACTCAGACCTGCTCCTATAACCATAAGGTCCTCCCTTAGGGACACTCTTCAGCACACTGAGTAATGCGTGACTCTCATCCCCCCAGGCTGAGGGAGCTGTTAGTTCCTCTCGCAGCGGGCTACCATGGCGGCCTCAACATGTCTAGTCACTTGTCTTTCTCATCAAAGTCATATGTTCATTCACTAATCCCTGCTTTCTTTCAACACAATTAGCTGAGCATCTGCCATGTGCCAGGCACCATTCTTTTTTCAATACATAATACGTTTACACAGCTCAAAGTTCAAAATTAGATAAAAAGATATAAACTAAGAAGACTCCCCCACTGGTAGCTATTGTTCCTTATTTTTTATTTATAAGCAAATATAAATATATAAATCTCACTTTGTGTGTTAGAAAGCACTCTATGTATATTCTTTGTCCCCGGATCTGTCCTTGTCTGCACATAGATATCTTCTGCAATATTTTTAACAGCTGTATAGCATTCCATTTCCATATGTACCATAGTTTATTCAACTCATTTTCTACTGATGGGCGTGGGTTGTTTATAACCTTTTGTTATTATAATACAAACAAAGTCACAGTAAATACTTTTGTGCACATGTTATCGTATACGTGCAATTGAATCTGTAAAGGAAATGCCCAGAAGTGGGGTCGCTGCATCAAAGGGTAAACGCATCTGCATTTTGGGGAGATCAGCTTCCCTTCACTAGGAGTTTATCATTCTGTACTGCTGCCGGCCACGTAGGGGATCCAGGCATTGTCCCAAGGATCAGTCGGGATGCAGTCGGGACCGAGATGGACAGGAGCTCAGCTCTTATGGAATGGATGCTCCATAGTGGATATTCCAGTGTGGGCAGCCTGACGACCTTCAAGTGCAAATACAAAGGTAACAGCAAATTGTGATAAAATGCTGTGAAGACGATAAAACACAATACAGTTGTGCATTGCATGATAACATTTTGGTCAACAACAGATCACACATATACGACGATGCTCCCATAAGATTAGTACCATAGAGCCTAGTTGTGCAGGAGGCTATGCCATCTAGGTTTGTGAACATGCACTCTGTGATGTTCACACAATGACAAATCACCTAAGGAGGCATTTCTCACAACAAATCCCCATGGTTTAAGCAATGCACGGCTACTGTGGTGGAGAGTTGTGCAGAGTGGTGGGTGAGGGGTGAGCCATGCTAGATAAGATGGTCAAGGAGGGTCTCTCTGATGAGACAACATTTGATCCAAAACCCAGGTAGTGAGAAGGAGGCAGCCAAGAGATCAGAAGAAGAATGTTCCAGAGCATATGAGGGGACAACATGACAAAGGTGTTTAGGCTCCTTCTGGAAAACAGTCTCTGCCAAACTCACCCAGATTTCTCTGAGAAACAGGTGGATCAACGAGACGTATGGCTTAGTTCTGGGATTCCTGTTTTACGTTAATCAAGGGCCATTGAAGTTAGTTGTTCTAGATATTTCCAACCCCAAGAGTACGTAGAAGTTGGGTGAGATGGAGAAAAGGCAAGTTCACTTAGTTGCTTAGAAGTGGATCTCTCTGTTGTTTACACATAAGATGTTTTTCCACAATATTTTTAAAATTTCCAGAATCTAGTAGATACACAAATTTTTAAAAATTGTGTTTTTAAAAAAACCCATAACAAAATTTACCATTTTAACCAAGTGTACAGTTCAGTAATGTCAGCTCTATTCATATTGTAGATTCTTAATTTTTTTAAGATTATTTTATTGTTTATTTATAACACTGGGTAAATTTTAGGCGTACACGATCATATTTTAGCTTCTGTACAGACTGCATCGTGTTCACCACCAATAGTCTAGCTTTTATCCGTCACCATACATACGTGTCCCTTTACCCCTTTGGCCCTCCCCCCACCCCCTTCCACCCTGGTAACCACCAATCTGTTCTCTTTATCTATGTATTTGTTTGTTTATCTTCCACATATGAGTGAAATCACATGGTATTTGTCTTTCTCTGTCTAAAGTTTCACTTAGCATAATACCCTCAAGGTCCATCCGCGTTGTTGCAAATGGCATGATTTTCTTTGAAAAGATAAATAACATTGACAAACCCTTAGCCAGAGTCACTAACAAAAAAAGAGAGAAGGCTCAACTGAATAAAATCAGAAAGGAAAGAGGAGAAATTACAATGGATACCACAAAAATACAAAGGATGATAAGAGAACACTATGAAAAGCTATGTGCCACCAAACTGGATAACCTAGCAGAAACGGGGGATAAATCCTTAGACTCATACAACCTCCCCAAACTGAATCAAGAAGAAATAGGGAATCTGAATAGACCAATCAGAAGCAAAGAGATTGAGACAGTCATCAAAAAGCTCCCAAAAACCAAAAGGATGGGACCAGATGCCTTCTCTGGTGAATTCTACCAAACATTCAAAGAAGATTTAGTGCCTATCCTTCTCAAACTATTCCAAAAGATTGAAGAGGAGATGATGTTTCTTAAGTCATTTACGAGGGCAACGTTACCCTGATACCAAAACCAGATAACGACAACACAAAAAAAGAGAATTACAGACCAATATCACTGATGAACACAGACACAAAAATCCTCAACAGACTGTTAGCAAATAGAATACAACAATATATATTAAATGGATCATACACCATGACCACGTGAAATTTATTCCAGGGATGCAGGGATGGTTCCACATCCACACATCAATCAATGTGATACACTCATTAACAAAGTGAGGAATAAAAACACATGATCATCTCAAAAGATTCAGAGAAAGCATTTGACGAGATCCAACAGCCATTTATAATAAAAACTCTCAATTAAATTTTTTTAACTGAAAAATTAGCCTAGGCTGTGAAAAAGATTGAAACAAGATAAAAATAACTAGAACCCGGAGCAGAGTTACATGAGTACCTATGATTCCAGACTTCCAGGGAAATCAGAAGAGGGAGCCATCAGTTATGGATGAGGATGCCACTGAGGGTCTTCCACACCTGGAAATGTCCTTTCTCTAACAGATTTTGCTTGAAACAATAGGATCAACTCATTCTCACTGACCATTCTCATCTCGGTTATAACATTGTTGCATTTTTTCCACTCTTACAGTGCACTTTCATGCTTGGGAAGGAATCTCATCTTTTACTCAGCAACAGAAAATACGTAACACCATTTAGCAAATGATTCAATCAAGTCAGATCAACAGCAGGCAGGTCAGACTCTCTCCGGGGCTCACCTGCTAGCCTTTGCACCACCTGCAGGCACAGTCTGACCACCACAGGTCATAACCATCCTTTCAGGTTCCTGCTGAACCAGCGGGTTGCCAGAAGGATTCACTAATTTCCGCTCATGTTAGAATTTTACGCCTTTTATATACTCTCCTATATTGAGTGGTAATTGCCTGGAAAGTGAGAATTGGCTACTTTATAATTTTATAACAGACCGATGAATTTTAAAAATCTTTTAGAGATATACCATGTCATCTTCAGGGACAATGGGCTGCACTCTGAGTCCTCCTTCTCCTTTATGGAGAGAGGATGTCCACATAGATATGCGATAGAAAGTAGCTCTACTATCTAGAAGTGAAATGGGAAACGTATTGATAGTGAAAAAAATACATCCATGAGCGTCATCTTCAGCCCCAAGAGAGAAACTGTTATCGTTTCTTTCTCTTTAAAGAGTCGCTTTCCCTTTGATTCAGGTTGCCTTGTGAGAAGAATCCACTAGATGGTGCTATCCAGCCGTTTATCTGTGGCGCGCGCGCCTTCCGCTGGGTGGAACCCAATTTTGAGACTTGAAAGCTAGAGGGCAAGATTTCCTTAGAAATAACTTATCAATTTAAAAAAACACATAAAATAAAGATCCCTTGGAGTACAAAATGCCTAGGAAGGTCCCAGTCATCCCGCTACAAAGCTCAGTACAGCAAGGAAGCCATGGATGTGCCGGGATTTTGTACAAAAGAGAGAATGTGCGACTTCATGGAAAACCCTCAATTTGGAGACGTTTTGCTGTTGCCTGGGGAATACGTCTCTGATCCGTGTGCTGTATTTCCCGGTCGATTGCCCACCGTGAAAGGAGGCCTCGGACGTGTCGGGTGCTTCCTCCATCCCCACGTGCGCGATAGCCGCGCAAGGACCCTGCTCCCTGAGCCTGGGAAGCACCGGCATCTGGAAGTCATAAAGCCTGTTTCGGAAACATTTGATGTCACCCTTTGCACCCGCAGCTCATGTTTCAAGGCCTTTCCTTGGGCTTGAGGTCCGCGGGCCGGCGCTGGCTTGAAGCGCTCATTTGCACACGTCGATCTGCAGCTTCGGCCACCAGGGACGCTGGGCCCTTCTGTCCTTCCTCCCCGGGACCCTCGCCCCGGGCCGCCTGCGCTCTGCATTCCTTTCTTCCCACTCCCTTTGTCTCCTTCCTCTCGCATCAGGCTCTTGCTTTTTTACCCGTTTTGTGACCTCTGAACAGAACAGTCTGCCACTTTCTTTCTTTTATAATTTTCCTTTAAAAAAAAATTTTTTTTTTTTTGGTGGGGCTGCATAGGGACCGATTATTTCCGATTCACAGAGAACTGCGCTTGTCCTTGGTGGGCTATGACTTACCAGGCCTTCCTGCCTATGACCACCTCTCGACCTGGAAGTGGGGGGCGCGAGTCCCAGAGGCTGAGAAAGGGGCGCTCCGTCGCACTAGATCATCAGGCTGATGAGATGCCGGGTGACAGCGCTCCCCAGACCACCCCGTGGCGTGTCCGCTTGCATTAATATCAGCGTTGTGATGGCGGTGCCGCTTAGCTCCTCAGAAGGTGCCTGGTCACACTTAGGAAGGGAATTCTGGCAAACAGGCCACCATTCCATTCTTGTGTGACCTCCACAAATACTGTCTGATGCCAGAGACCTCTCCTCGGGGCGCCCTGCTTTCATCTGCTTGGGGTGCCTCTACAGTACTTGTTATATCATTAGGCAGATTTGGCCCAAGTTGTCCAAAAGCCATCACTTAAAATCCTTTCCAAAACGAACTTCATTTTTTAAGTTGAACAAGAGAGGCGGGTACGGGAAAGTAGGAGTGAGTGTGCACGGCCTGTGCAATTACGGGATGGGCTTTTCCAGCCTAAGTAGAGTCGTTGGAAGAGTCAACTGACTGACCTTTTGTTTAACCAAAGAGATGAGAGAGAGACGTGATTGATTGATAGATGGAGGGATAGATGACGGATAATGGATGATAGGTGGGTGGAAGATGCATAGACAGACTTTAACCCAAGGAAAAGGCAGAAATAATTTATTAGTTTATTCTACAGAGAAATCCCATTAAAAGGTGAGCCGTTCGTCTAGTTTTGGTTAAATGAGCTATAGATTCCCCCTCTGGTTTGAGATGTCTCAGCCGGGTGCTGGGGGAACATGGATGGGTTGGGATGGCCCTTGGCTCCGTCCATGGAGGTAGCGGGCAGCTATGTGGGGGCAGTGGGGCCTTTCTCTGTAAACAGGAGCCACAAAGCAGAGGAAGCCTTTAGAGGCAAAACAATAAACACAGCATTTATTCTGCCTTTAAATGACAGAGGTCTTGGGACCTCCACGAGACACTCTGTATCTCCATTTCAAGGAGGCCTGGAGATGCAAGTCTGATGCCGCTCTGCTTTGACCCAAGAAAGCTCTCCTGGGCACTTGACTTCGGAGGAAGACAGGCTACTTGCATGGGGGCACATAACAGAGAGTTTTGGCCCTTTTATTCAGAAATTAAAATATTCAACTTGAAGTCACACCAGAAAACGCTCTTAGCGATTTCTCTAGAGGTCTTAGACAATTCCAGTGATTTATGCATCCATCAGGTCTGTATACCTGGCTGAAGCAGTCACTTTAAAAATAAAAATGACTAATT